TAAATCCCTGTGTTACCAAATAATGGTTAAATTACAGACAAATGGTGCATCCTATAACTAATCATTGATTAGATGAACTGCTTGTTTTTGCAACTCAAGAGCTTGTTTGAATGAACTAATTATCAAATTGAATGGACAGATAGGATTTATCGATAAATAATTGTTGGGAAAATTGGATGATTTGTTTGTAGATAAACATATCAACTAATAAATATATATAACATAATTCAATAATTGCATAAACATAACAATATTATAACAATAAATATATTATAATTCAACAATAAGAAGAGGGTTAGAATGCAAATCTTAGAGAGTCACGTCAAGACAATGTCCTAAAGTCGTGTTGCCTTCGTACGGATACTTTCGGCACTATACGGATCCAAGATGAAAACCATGTAACACACAACCGATTCTCCTTCCATAGGTACGGTCATAGGAAGATAAGTGAACAAAACTTTATCGAGTTACCTAAAGCATATCAATATAAAATGTATGAGTACTTTCAAGTGGTTTTGAAGATATATACAATAATGAAAATATGAAATCTAATCACATTTTATATGTAAAATTTCAACCCTCACATTTATACCATTAAAAGACAAGTTATAATATGTATGTTACACTATAATATTATTAATTTAATTTTGTATAAAATTGAAATTAAAATAGAAACAACAAATTAAAATGTGTTAATTTGAAAATTTAATTTTAATTATTTATATTCCAACAATCCCCCACAAGTTTTAAACTTTTAAAATAATTAAATGTGTGTGTGTATATATCGAAAATGATCTCCTATACACTGGTGCGTTGGTTGATGTTAAAAATCGGTGATATGGCACGCCATTTAACTGGTGAATAAATTAATGGTAAGTCTTGTGTATAAATAAAAAATGCAAAAAAAGCCCCCCCAACTACCCCTATTGTGAGTGTATGTAAACTTGGGTGTCAAAATATTTCTGGCGCCTAGCTTGATTGTATATAAGAGGTCATTGCAAAATTTTCAAATTGAAATCCACAGTAGAGAGATCCACAAATTCTTCTTACTCTATTACATGTTACCTCACACTCTCACAGACTTCTAGAGAGAGAGATTACAAAGGTTGGTCATTGCATAAAAAAATTCTTGAATACTCATATTTTTCTCTAGTGCCCATCAACTTCCAATTGGTATTCCATTGTAGAATTAGAGTTTGTAAACAATTTTGGCATTGTACATGTCCTAAGTAAGAAGCATTTCTACAAACTTGTCAACTTCATGTTCATCTAGCTTATGTTTAATCTCAATACTAATTACATAATCACACATTAGTTTTCCATTTAAAAAATCTTCGTCACAACACTTCAATATGAATAATTTTTCACATCAATATCATATAAATCAACTAAAGCGAATCATCATTTGCACCCACCATCATAAAAGTTCAATCACCAACCAAAAAATCGACAACGATCAAACAACACAATAATATCTAAGATAGATATAAAAGTCCAATCAAATAGCAAATCTGATAATGAGGAAAGTAACTAGAAGAATACCGAATATTTTTCAAAACTTTGCCCCCCAACCCCAAACAAGAAATGCGTTGCCCCACTATCACCCCCAGCCAACTCAATCGAAGATGGATCTGCGAGAGTTGTAGATAATATCGATACCCCTCATTCACACCATAAAACAATGCATTCATATGGATAAAAGTTTTGATACTATGTGAATTCTATGAATGCAAGCAAGATGGAAGAGAAGAAAGCAAAGGGAGGCTATGAACTTAGGGTTGGGTAAAATTCCCTAACCGAACCAAACTTGAACCTAACTAAATCGAACTAAGCGATTCTTCTTAAACTAAATATTCGAATGAGTATCTAAATTGAGAACCGACGGGTTCGATTCGATTCTCAGTTCTAGTTCAAGAACCGAAGAATCGAATAAGAATCGAAATCTTCCTAATTTTTAATTTATTTATTTTAAATAAGTAAAATTATTTTATTTTTTAAAATAAATTTGCTAACTAGTTAATTGAGCTAAAATTCAAAAATATAATTTTCCTATTTCTAATTTTCAGTCCAAACCTAACTTAATTAAATTGGCATAAATTTTACCCAAATCTGTTATTCTACCATAATGCCCTTTTTACTGTTCGTTTTTATTATTATGAATTCACTGTCTTCCTCTTCCTATGATTTTAATAATTAAATTTATGAAGAACTCAGCAAAGAGAGACACAAAAAACAAATAAGATTGGATTACGTTATTTTGTAAGAGCCAAGATTGAATATATCATTAATTGAATTAATGTAGCTTTCTAATTATTGAAAAAATTAATTATAGTACAGAACCTGGGAACCGAATGGAATCGAACCAAACTGAACTGAACGGAATCCGAACAGTTTTATAATTAAATTTGGACTGGACAATTCAACTTACTAAATACCTGAAAATTTCGGGTTCGGTTCGATTCTCCTTAGAACCGAACCGAATCGAACCTTGCTTAGCCCTGGCTAGCTTTCCATACACCAAATGAGCAAATGTTAATACAAAAGTGTGGTTGCAAGAGTTTAAATAGTCTAATAGGCAAATGACAAAAGTACCTAGCCAAACAAGTAACCTTTAACAATACAAAATAACATATATACATATATCATAACCTAATTATCCTGACAGCAAAGTCTTGCATATGAAGATCCATCCATTCTTGCAACACAGACAAAATGCATGCCCATATTTTGAATACATTTTATAAAATTTCCCTATTAATATGTTCTAAAAAATATCATGACGAACCGATTATTTTTCCATCTTTATTCTTTTATGCTTCCATGGCTACAGTTACTGTCAAAGAAATCAAAGCATTGGACGAATTATTCAGGAAATTGTGCAGCTCTGTGGTAGATGAGGGGTTAATTAGCAGTGTAACTGTCCTCTAGCTATTCGTTCTAAAAATTTATATGCAGTTTAGATTAGCAATGCATAAAAATCATTAGTAGTGGTTCTTTAGTTTGAATTTATATCGTTATTTTTCTTACACATTAAACCTATATTGCGAACTTAACTTTGCATTTACAGAAGGAATTTCAACTTGGATTGTTCAGGAACGGCAATGAACAGCCTCTTTTTGCAGATAGGGTTAGACAATTCATATCAAGTCTAATTCTTGATTTTACACGTTTTATTTCTTTATTGTTTGTGGATTACATTTTTTTCCGACAACTTATGCTTAGATTTTCAATCTGTTAGATTTTGGAGAGTTCATCAGATTTTTGAGCACATTCCACCCAGACACTCCTCAAGTAGATAAAGCCATTTGCAATGATAAAATCTTTTATTTCTGATGTTATAGTTGCATTTAATTTATACGACGTATGGCAGACTGGCTTCACCAAAAGAGGAGCCAACCTGATAGTTTTCCATTATTCACGAAACATGTTCTAAATGCCATAAAATGACAGAGAAGTTTATCGATGATATTTTCCATTTGGTTCAAAGTCAAGGAGATGATTACAGAGCTGCTCAAAGAGTCGAGTTTGATAATTTCTGATGACTTTGTGGAAGCTATATTGATAAGGTACGTTGCATGAAACATATATGACTTTCTGATGAATTTGTGACACTAGAATTTGGAGTTTTCTATACTGCTCTCTACATTTCAGTGCTGTGACCTGGCTTCATCAAAGAATCGAGTTTGATACTTTCTGATAAATTCGTGATCCGTTTATGCGAAGAGGTTTGAGGAAGCAGATTCTGGAAGAGATAGGAAGATCGACATAGAAAAGTCCTTCCTTGTTGAAGAACATGACAATTCCACACTTGAAGTAACTATCTCTTATTCTCCAACATATATCTTAATTTTGGACAATATGTGCATTTGGTTTCAGTACAAAATAATTTCCTAACAAAGTCAAGCATATCTGTTTCACAGAACAAAGAGGTACCCTAATAAATTGTAGTTAAGAGTATGAGGATTGTGTTGTGCAATAATGCGTAACAAACAATCCCGACAGATTGAGCATTTCACCGTGCAGGGACATAACTAGTTTTGTACAGATATCAGAGGCCGGAGACAAGATTGCTAATTAGAACTGTTGACAATGAAAATTTGGAACACAGAAAAAGGTATATTATGGTAAACAATATTTTCTTTGATATATATACAAATTTTCGAGAAGAAAAAAATCTATGTAGTATCTTTATTTGCCAATTGTATCATTCCAGTGCTATCTGCAACCAGTGTAGAAATTGTTAGTACCTTAACTTGTACGCTGTGCTGCACCTCCTTGGGAAATCATTTAGCATTTTGAGATATCATGTCTTCCAAATTCATGGGATAGCACATTTTCGTATGCAAGCCAGACCAGACATTGTCAGCCAAGATTTCGTTTACGGCATCCGTCGGATGAAACTGGTCCCACCAGATATGGTTGCTAGTGTTATTGCAAGCCATATCGGGAGAAATGCACATAATCCAACCCCTATGCCTGCCTAATCCACAGCAAGCATCATCAATGACATTAAAACCTGGAAATGAAAGCACGAATCAGAATGGTATTGGTACATCTCCAATGAAATACAAACAAGAACTCGACCAATGATCTCACCATAACGGTCATTATTTTTCATTATGTCCATGGAACCTTCAAATGCATCACAAAATATTATTTTAGCGTCCGGGAGCTCCTTAGTAAGTTCCTCAACTGTGAATCTCATTGCAAAGTTGAATTCCAGTACCATGTCATTTATCTTCTCAACACAATGTCCATCCTTTCTATTATGTAGCCACAAGTAATAAGGAGCACAGCCAATTGGGGCTAGTCCCATCACAACCACGTTTCTCACATTTGCATTGTACAAATTCTGCAAGATCAGCATCAGAGTACTGCCTTCACATTTTGCTCAGACGATTGCAAATATAAAAACCAAATCAAGATGAAAACCCAAAAAAGCTTTTAACATATAGTCATGTGGAAAGTTTATAGAAGAACTGCAATAGTGCACATAAGAAAATAAAGAACAAATTGAAAATTTTAAGACACGAGAAAGCAACTGAAATAAAAGATGAGCACCTAAGTTATCCTTCTCCTTTTCATGCATCTACCGAGACTCAAAAAATAATAATAATTGTGAAAACTAATAATATGCGCAGCTTGTGACATGGTCCTTGTATAATGGTTTAACATGGCTAAAAGCTCTACATGGATACAAGAATAAATATAAACAAAGCACTGAATCATCCAGTAGATGTGGAGGTGACAGCCTCCAAATCTATTGGGAATAAGGCATAGTTTTTTTTCATACGAAGATGGCATATCCCTTTTAGAAAAGGATTTTGATGAACATGCAAACAGAGAAGACGACAGTGATATCATATAAAAGGATCACCTTAATCTCCAGCTTCATAATATGGACTAAATATTGGTTGAAACTCCATGGGAGGTACAGAGATTGCACGCTAGATACATTGCGGAGATAGTAGTGTATATAATCGTTTGTTCCAACTGAAATGTAGAATACCGAGTTTGAGACAAGATCGTATGCTTTATCCTCACCCATACTCAGAATAAACTGCTGAAATGTGTCCATAACCTGTTGAATTTGTTGTGCTAAAGAGATACGTTGACCCTGCAAAAATTGTCAAAAACAAGTGAATTAGAATAACTGATTTTGCACAAATGAATGATCATTATTTAACACTTTAATTTTTTATGCTTTACCAATTCAGAGCCACTGGAGAATATGATTCCGGCACCAGCAGATGCATAATTCACTCCTCGAGTCATATCTTCAATAGAACCCGTCTGTCCAAGATAACTCGGCACAAAAGGCAACCCAAGACGCAATGCTGAAATCAATAAGAACAAAAAGGAACATGAAAATGAAGAATTACCATCCAAAAAACATTTTTATCCAGCCAAAGATAGTCCAAACCCGCAAAATTTAAATTAGCAATGTAACAGGGAAAATCGAGTATTAATGTCATGGTAATAAACTTCTTCGCTTAAAATTCTTGATTCCAACTAATTACAAGGACCCCAAATTATCATTATTAATCAAATAAGAAACAAATTAAAGACTAAAATCAATAATACACAAGAACCCCCAAAATCATTATTCTTTCACAAATTTAACAAGTGAAAGTCACCAGCTCAATAAATATTCAAGAATTGAATATAAGTTTTCAAGATCATGTTACCAAGATAGTCAACAGGGATTCTTCCATTGCAGAAGCGGCCAGTGGGATGATGAGTATCGAAATCTCTACCATACGGAAGCCTATCGGCTCGAGCAAAAGTTCCAAGAAAATTGTTTGTTCCACAGTCAACAGTAGAGTCTCCTAATACGAACAACGCAGGAACAAGAGGGGTAGAATCTAATGTTGGACTTGGAGGAAATGCAACTGTTGTAAATTCAGGTGGGGATGAAAAGGGGCCATCGTTGATGGGGCCCAGATGGATTTCATCGATGAGTTCTTCAGGGAATTCAAGGGATAATGAGGGTTTAAGAAAGAAAATTGGGATGAGAATCAAGAGAGTGTAGATAGCTGAAGAGTCCATGGATGTGTGTGTGTGTGTCACAGAGAGAGAGAGAGAGAGAGAGAGAGGGAGCGAGGGAGGGAGGGAGGGACATTTAGGGGATTGTGAATGTGTAAATGGCGGGTTCGCGAGAGGACGGTTGAAATAAAGATGAAATTCCAGAAATGTCCTTGAGGCTGGAAATGTAGAGACACCGGGGAGCAAGGTTGGAAAAAAAAATAATAATAATAATTTTGTATCGATTATTTTTTTTATATGGGTGGTTATACTCAAATTAATTTTTTAAATAAATATACCACATTTTAATTAAATTAAAGGTTATTAATCTTCACCAACCAATCCAACACCCGGCGAGCACTGATGGTCGTTCGTGCTATCTCCGTCAAAAAAAAAATTTTGTTCTTCTTATATTTGGTGATCGCTCAAAGCAAGGTTAAAAAGAGTAATTCTGTATCAATTATTATTTTTGTATGGGTGGTTATATATATATATATATACACACACACACACCACACTTTAATTACATTAAAGATCATTAATCTTCATTGACGGATCTAACATCCGGTGAACACTGATGGCCATTCGTGCTATCTCCATTGAAAAGAAAAATCCTTATATGGAGCAGCCGCCCATGCTTACCTCTTCTCCTGGATCTACTAGTATTAATTTTTATTCATTATCACACTAATATCTTTAAATTTTTTCTTCATGACATTTTTATTTTTAACGTTTTATTAATCTGAAAATCTTATCCTCGATCATGATTTTCGTGTAAAAATATTGTTAAGATGCTTTAAAATGAGAGTCGGATATTTAATCGCATTTTCATAATATTGTTTGTTTTGTTTATTCAAAAATACAATGAGTAAATGAGTCTTTTTACTCGAATCACGATTTTCGTCTAAAAATATTGTTAACGTGCTTTAAAATGAGAGTTAAATATTTAATCGCAATTTTATAATTTTGTTTGTTTTGCTTATTTAAAAATACAATAGGTAAATGAGTCTTTTAATTTTATCTTAAAGAAAATTTTGGAGAAAAACCATAATTAGAAACAAGTTATGTTAATCTGAGAATAAATGTGAAATGAAAAAAAGTTTGATACATAAATGTGATAATGTGTAAAGGTTATAAATCGTTTATGTAATTAAAATGTAGCCTAGTTATTAAAAGTCGTGTTGTGAATATATTTAGCCTTTTTATATAATGTGACTACGAGACAATGGTTCATTTATATTAGAAATTAGGAAATTTTGTTGAGTCATTTCATTCAACATAGTTTTTGAATTTAGATGAAACTTCGAATATTTTTTATTTTTCATTTTTCCTTTTTTATTTTCATGTTATCTTGACGGAGTTCTAATCAACTTATATTGATTATTGAAATTTGAAAGTAAATTATTTTTGAACATCGTCTATTTTATTTACTTGACACGTTATTTCTTAAAAATTATCAACAATTGCAATGATGATTCTATAAGTCTAGAGCGATCAAGTTTTTTTTCTTCTTTGTTATTTTAGGATCCATTTAACCTTACTTTTTTATTTTTTCAGTTTTTAGTAGTATATTTGGTCACTGAAAATAGAATTTTTTAAGTTTTGGGTATCATGTAGGCATTAAAGTCTCCTGTAAATCCTTTTTATTTAGTTATTTCGTGACACACACAAATACTATCCATATATTCACAACTTATTTCAATATATTTATACCTTTTTTTTTTATATCCAGGTATCCCAAATTACACTAAACTAAATCCTGGACCCCCAAGATCTTGCCCCTAGAACCTTGGAGGGGGTATATCGCGGGTTATATCTCAACTGGATCACAGGTTCCCCCAACCGCTTGTACACTTCTGCGCACAAGAGATCCTCCTCCAAAATGATTGCTCCATACCAAATAAATCTGACTGCAGGTTCCCACCAGGATTCGAACCTCTACCCTACCGCTGGAAGCAAGACAAATGTTGATTGATCCACCAATTGAGCTGTGCCCCGGGGGGCAATATATTTATACTTTAAATCTACTATAAACAACTAGCAGAAATTAAGGAGAAATTTTATTATCTAATAAATAATAAATCAAACACTCTACTTAGACTTTGTTTGAACCCCATTTTTTGGATAATAAATAACAGTGATTTTTTAAAGCATATGTGATTAAAAAAATAGGAAAATGTTTTAGGTTAACGTGTAGAATTAATTCATTGAAAGAACTTATAGTTGAAAGTGAATTGTCGAAGAAAATATGAGATCATAAACACAATATAAAATAATTGATGACAAGAATACTAGAACAAAATAATTTCTAGAGTAAAGAATATTTCACTAAAATATAAATAAAGAATACAAAGATTTTATGTTACAATTTTGTCTAACTTAATTTAAAATACAATGAAGCTCTAAATATATATATAAGGGACGTTCAAAACCCTAAAAGTAGAGTTATAAATGGTAAGAAATGCTCAAAATATGTCAAAATGCAGAAATGGGCCTGGGTTGGACGAGCTGCCGCTCGAGATAGAATTGCGACGGCATTACTCAAGTGATAGGATAGTGGCCAATTGGCGAAAAAGCATAGAAAATTTCTCTACGGTCCATATATTGATCTTTGTAGGTCCAACACAAATTTCAACTACAATTGGGCTTTTAAATAGAACTTTCAACTAGAATTTGCTAAATAGACTTCGAATAGGATTTCAAATAGAATTTGGTTCACACCCTAATTTTAACAAAACTCTACCTTAACACAAATTTCACTGTAATGAACAAAACTTAAAAAATTCTCCACCCGGAGACAAATTTCATTGTAAGAAATGAGCCTCCACTCTTCAATAAAAAAAAAATGAAATTCTCCATCAAAAATTTCAACTGAAAATATTCTCCAAAACTCTGTCACCCAACTATGGCAAAACTTAAATAATTGAGTATTAACAAAATTTCAAGCATTGGGCTTGGACATCACCGAACAAGGCAGAAACAAGCCCTGAAACAAAATCACCACAATTGAATGCATCAAAAGAAAGATTTTGGCTAGAGTCAACCCCCTTAACCAATCAAACCATAATCAACTAAATCAATAGCATTGTACCTATGTAGAGGCTTATGATCAAAAATAGGTCTGTTATTAGTAACCGAATACAATGGCACGCCAATAATGGTGATAAAGCGACATTACCCATAACTTCTAAATTCAACTAAAATGTATCATTCTAAGAAGACCCAAACTAAACTCCAACGGTATAGAATCCAACTTCAAATTCACCTAAGTTCTTAAAATATGCTAATTAATCAAATATTTTATACAACAGTACAAGATATATAACTGGGATTTTATATGTCCCTTCAACATAGCATGGGCTCATTTACTAATCTTCAAGACTTTGCCTTCAACGGTGCACTTGTACTCTTTTGAATCAAGAGTACTTAAGAATATAAGATTTCTCTTCAAATTTTGAATGTGTATCACTACATCAAGTGTTCTAACCGTCCCATCAAATATCTTTATTTTAAGTCGACCATCTCCATGAACATCATATCCAACATGATACTTCATCTTCTCCTTTGAATATAGAGCATTATAGACGTCTTCAATGATGAGAGTATAACGACTATAGAAGATGATATATCTAAAAGACATATATAAAGCTGGCAATGAACACAACAAAATCAACCCCAAATCCACTTCATCATATTTAACCTCCAAAATTTTCAAACCAGCGACGATTTCTTTAAAAACGCGTGGGTGATCTTCAAGGGATGTACTTTCTGTCATATGATGAGAATATAGGCATTACTTCAGATGCAATTTACTAGTTAGACTCTTCATCATGCATAATTGCTCCAATTTCAACCATAATGCAACGGCTGATTTTTCCTTCAAAATATCCTGAAGAATATTATTTGAAAGACGAAGATAAATTTGAGATATGGCCTTTTGATCCCTCTATTATTTTTCCTCCGACGTCTAAGTTGTGAGAATCTTGTCAAAATCTTACAACGTGTCGTCCAAATCCATTTGAGCGAGTACTGCTCGCATCTTTACCTACCATAAAGAATATCTTGTGCTCCGATCCAAAAGCGGAGTATCATATTTTATGGTTGTCATCACAAAATACCAAGTTAGGCTCTAAACTTGATCAAAACCTCGATCTTCCAAGAATTTTCATGCATTTGGCTGTAATACCAATTTGTTGAAAAATGAAGATGATATTAGGTTAATCTGATACCTATTTGTTGAAGAAGATACGAGATTAAAGGAACAATATGAAGTAATTAATCACATGAACGCAATAACAAAATAATTTGCAGAGTAATGGAGATTTCACTAAATATGGAGAAAGAATACAAAATTTTGTGTATTTAAGTAGAGTTATAGATAAAAATGACTGCTCAAAATGTGAATACAAGCTTGGGCCAGACAAGTTGTCGCTTGAGCACCAGGCAGGCAACGTTGGCATAGCTTGGGGGCTAGGAGAACGCCAGCTCTCAGGACAATATTGCAACGGCATTGCTCAAGTGATAAGTTAGCAGTCAGCTAGCGAAAAAGCGTCAAATTTTTTCCCTGGTCTCTGTCCCAACCTTTTGAAGTCCAACAAATTCTAACTCCTAATGAACTTTCCAAATAGGACCCTGTTTGGTAGCCATTATTTTGCAAAATGCATTCTTTCCATCACATCCAAGTAGGGCCCAAGCAATATTTTATGGTTTCATTTGATTTCAAATTATTGTAAATGCCAAATATACCCTTTCTTTGTCCTTATCACATGGAATCACTCCTCCCACGTGAATTCATACAAATTTGTACTGCAATGGCAGAAACCATTTGTTTTTTTTTTGGCACACAATTCTCCAAAAATAGTCAACAACTTTATGCCCCATATAATTGGTACAAGAAACACCCAATCTGTTGCAGAGCAGGAAGGTCGTTGGGCAAACTCTCCTGGCTGCGAAGTGGAAGAGTTTGTCAGCAACGACAAAAATCGGGGATTAGTGGAGGAGAAAAGGAAAAGGCAATATTTGTACCTAATTTCCGGCGAGATCCATTGTTGGTCGCTGGCGCTGCGTTGGTTGGGTGTCGCGGTGTAGGGATGATTGAGAGAAACCGGCGATAGTTGCTGCGGGACATTGGTAATGTGTGGAAACGTGGAAGTTTCTCAAGCAGTGGACGGTTTGTAGATTGATTTTGGCAGTGGGTTGGGTTACAGTCGTCGATTTGGAAGATGAAGGGGAGAGAGACATGTTGTGTCAGTGTGAGGGTCTTTATTAGGGAAAGACATATTTTTAGCCACCATATAATCTCACATGGTTTGTCAGATAAGTGGATTGCAACGTTCAAAAAATTAATTTCAGGCGGAAGAAAATGACTACCAAACATGCTCTAGAATTTGCCTAATAGATTTCGAATAGAATTTCAAATAACATTCTAAATCGAATTCGAGTCACACCCTAATTCTAACAAACAATAATGTAGATAATTGCACAAGTCGTAGTAATTTACTAAATTCTATCACAATCAAATTGAGTACTAATTTTCAAAAATGAAAAGCAATGCCTAGTTCAAGTGGTATGAACAAAACTTATCTATGTTTGAGTCTCGTTTGGATGGGAGATTTCAAAAATTAAAAATAAAAAAATGTCAATTTCATTTTTGGTTACTGAATTCCAGTGAAATTTTATTTTACATCACTTAATTTTCAATTAGTCTCAGTTAGATCACTCTATTCAATTTATTTTAATGTTAGTCACTCTGTTGTCCATCTTTTATAGGGCTGTCTGGCATGACGTTTGAAATGTCAAAATGAGTTTTTGAAATCCAGAAATTATTTTTGGATCCCGTTCGGCTAATTTAAGAAAGTATTTATTCTGGTTAGAAGAGTTTTTTAAGGAAGTTGGTCGAATGTGACTTCCTCTAAAAATGCTTCTGAAATAAAAAGCTCGTTTAAAAAATTAATTTTCAAACAAAAATTAAGATAATTTTCTTAAAAACCTTTTCTACATGAAACAAAAATAAAATCAAAAGTCATGTCAAATAAATCCTTAGTAAACATCTCAATACTCCATTAGCCGTCATTTGTAGATATATAAGTCATACAATCCACGTTGTTGTTGCACATTCTTTAAATTGAGGATAAATAGAGCTCTAAATATGGTCCATTACATGAATTACAGTTTAAACTCCTTCTTCTTCTTCTTCTTCTTTTTTCCATTTTTTTTTTCAAAATTTAAAATTACAATTCATTTTTTTCTCTTCAATTTTCAACCAAATAATTTTTCATAAAATAATATTACTCATAAATCGAAAAATTTTCTTTCTTTTTTCAATCACTCATTTTTTAAAAAAAATTATTTCGACCATTTTAATTTCAAAAAATGGGGGTCAAATGGGTGCTGAATAGTGTCTGAGGGGGACAAATGTCAATTTAATCATTAATAAAAAATTACAATTGTACTACATTTATCTCACAATTTACAAATTTGTTTATGAACAGATGATATGATGAGATTTGATTATATCAAAATCTTATCAAACAAATAAAAAAGATTCCCCTCACTTTCTTTTTTGACATCTCATCAATTTGGAGAAAATTATTTTAAGGACGACGTACAATAAGCGTTTTGTGAAAAATTATAAAATAATGTGACTTATATATAAACAGTTACTTAATAATTTACGTATAGATGAGATGCTAAAAAGAGAGTGGTAAATTTTTTATTTTTTTATAATTTGATTGCAGAAATTCTGATATAACAATATCTCATCATATCATGTGTATATAAATCATTATATACACTTATTATACATATGTAGCATAACTCATGACTAAAATTGTTTAAGACCCATTTTTTCTCCAAAATGTATTTTGGAATAGTTTTTTTTATGGTAAATGTGTGATTAAAAAATAAAAAAAATTTAGATTTACGTGTAATATTATTTAATAAAAAAAGTATGATTAAAAATAAGAGAGAATGAAATATATTTTAAAAGTAACGGAACAAATAGGGACATAATATTATGAGAACAAAGCATTTCTCACAGAAGCCTTACCACCCTCATTGTATTGGTCGGTCCCACATTTAAAAAGAAAAAAACACCGGGGCCCATGCGTGCATATGTTCTGGTAGGGGTACTTGTAACACCTCACTAATATTATTGGCATTACCGACAATTTCCCAAAATACATGTATTGTTACTCCGAACATTACACGTTTAAAGTCATTGAGTCAAAACCATGAAGCAAACCCAACGGCTATAATTCCGCTCTCGTCTTCTTTATCGACAATTTTACCGGAGAATTCAAAAACAACCGGAAAATTCAGTGTTCCTTTCAACCCTGGATCCTCATTTTATCTCAAAAACGCCACTTCTATCCTAAAAAAGCTGTTTGAAAATGGAAAAATAATTAATTCTTCGGCTATTCACTGCCACCTGAAATTTTTATTTTTTTTCACATATAAGCTCAGTTTCAGACACCCACTTAGCTTTTGATTCTTCTTCCCTTTTTCTAAGAATCCAATTCACCCAGAGTTTTTAAAGAATTTTACAGCCCATGTCTCTCTCATTGGAAGATTAATTCTTTGGAGGAGTCTATAGTTGATATAGCTTGAAAAGGTCGTCTTTTTGAGATATTTTTTTTTCATATTTGTTTTGGATTTTTCGGGTGATTATTTTTCTGGAATTTTTTCCTATTCAGTCTTTCGGATTTTTGAATTACAATAAAAGCAATCTTTCTTATTGGTGGTTTGTTTTTCTTGAGTATTGCATTTTATAAATCCATTTTTCAGGTTCATGTGACTGGGCTATTTCCATTAAATCTGTAGGCCTCTGACCAATTTTTGTTATGTATTAACCTCTGTCGAAATTTCCAGATAGGGGAAGGTAATAATTGGAAGTTGTGATTTCGGTAACCAGAGAGAAAGGGGGTCCTATATTATAAAGAGGGTGGTACAAATTACAAATTTAATTAACAATGTCTGCTGTTGATGTTGCTTTGAATCCCATTAGCAAAGAGACATTGCGGTCGTCTGGTTACATCTATAGCCGGTCGGCCCTTTGTCCGAGTGAGTCAATTGTAATATACATCACTGTCTCTGGTTCATTGCTTCCCATTCGTGTGATGGAGTCGGACTCAATTGCATCGGTGAAACTGAGGATTCAGACGTGTCAAGGGTTTGTAGTGAAGAGGCAGAAACTAGTTTTTGGAGGCAGAGAGTTATCAAGAAATGATTCACTTGTTAAGGACTATGGTGTCACTAATGGGAATGTATTGCACCTAGTCTTGAAACTTTCAGATCTTCTTTTGATCAATGTTTGGACCACCAGTGGGGAAGAATTTGAATTTCATGTTGATAGGCATAAGAACATAGGATATCTAAAGCGTAGGATTGCCAAGAAAGGGAGAGATTTTGTTAGTCTTGAGGATCCTGAGCTCTTCTGTAATGGTGAGAAGCTCGAGGATCAGAGGCTAATTGATGATATTAGTAAGAATGCTGAAGCCGTGATTCATTTGGTAGTTCAAAAATCTGTAAAATTACGGGTTGAGAAAAACATTGAACTCTCAATTGTGGCTACAAACTCAAACCGAAGGATAGATGATGAAGATGAACTACAGGTTTTATCTAGTAAGCCACCTGATAAGAATTCTCTCTTGGAAGCAATCATTGTTAATCCAAACCTAAAGTTCCCTTCATTTGTATGGGATATGATTAACTCGGCATCTGATGGATTGGAAAAAGGAAGACAACCAATCAGATCATCAGAGGGAATGGGAGGAACTTATTTCATGCAAGACGTTACAGGCAACAAGTACATTGCCATTTTTAAGCCCACAGACGAGGAGCCAATGGCTGTGAATAACCCTCATGGTCTTCCTTTATCAGCTAATGGTGAAGGATTGAAAAGGGGAACCCGAGTTGGAGAAGGTGCATTGAGAGAGGTTGCAGCTTACATATTAGACCATCCGAGGACAGGTCCTAGGTCATTGTCCAGTGGAAAAATTGGCTTTTCTGGTGTGCCCCCAACAGTAATGGTCAAATGCATGCACAGAGGATCTATTAAGATAGGATCACTGCAAATGTTCAAGAAAAATTTTGGAAGTTGTGAAGATATAGGTCCTCAGAATTTTCCTGTGGAGGAGGTCCATAAGATCAGTGTCTTTGATATAAGAACAGCAAATGCAGATAGACATGCTGGGAATATTCTGTGGAACAAAGATGGTGGGGAAGAAAGGCGAATTGTCCTTATTCCAATTGATCATGGCTACTGCTTGCCTGAGAATGTAAGAATAGTTTTTTCTTTTATATCACCTTTTTAAGAGTAGAGATTTTCATCTTTAAAAGACTCCTAATTGTCTGCTTCAATCAACGCCTGCGAAATATTTAGCTGATTTAGTTTCTTAAGTTTATTTTAAGGCAGTCTCTGGAGAATGTTTAAAAGATCCAATTTGTACTGTTATCAGCAATCAAATTTACACATTTTTATGTTCCTTGCAGTTTGAAGACTGCACATTTGATTGGATGTACTGGCCGCAAGCCCGCCAGCCTTTTTCCTCGGAAACCATTGAGTACATAAAATCACTTGACGCGGAGCAAGACATAGCACTTCTCAAGTTACACGGATGGGACATTTCACCTGAATGTGCTCGAATTCTCCGTGTCTCTACCATGCTTTTGAAAAAGGGGGTGGAGAAAGGCCTCTCCCCCTTTGCAATTGGAAGTATTATGTGCAGAGAAACATTGAACAAGAAATCCGTGATCGAGGAAATTGTTGGGGAAGCTGAGGATTCCATGCTTCCCGGCATGAGCGAAATTGCGTTTCTTGAATGTATGTCAAAGATCATGGATAATGTGTTAGGCAAACTTGTCACATGATATCAGAGAAGACCGAACGAGATTTAGCATTTTTGTAACTCGTTAACATTACTTTCTAGTCCTGGGAGCAGAACGTGCCTACGAGTTCTTCAAGTTTGTGTATTGTGTATGTATAGAATGAGCAGTCCATAGGAATGGACTGAAGAAGTTGGCTTAAAACTCAGTTTTCTTTCTCCTGCCTTCTCCATTTTATCAACCAGTTTTACTACTTCTGAAATATTTAACAGAAGTCGTATTATGAATAGAACAACTTATTTTATTTAATCATAATTTGAGTCCTCAATTGTAATTCTCCACAATTAAAGCCTCAATGGCTGAAAAAAAATTATTCTAATATCTTTATATGGATGGATCCAGCATATTCCATCACAAATGTGATGAATGTTGATTCTACTTGACAAAAATAAGTAGTGCTAGACCAAACTTCTGAACCGAACTAAGCTATTCTTCTTAAATTAAATAGATGAACGGGTATCTGAATCGAGAACCAACAGGTTTGGTTCGATTTTCGATTCTAGATAAAAAAAAAATAAAAAATAAAAACCGAAGAATCAAATCTTCCTAATTTTTTAATTAATTTATTTTAAATAAACCAATTTATTTTATTTTTCTAAATAAATTTGCTAACTAGTTAATTTAGTTCAAACCCAATAATATGATTTTCCTACTTCTAATTTTCAATTCAAAGTAAACTTAATCAAATTGATCTAAGTTTTATCCAAATCTGAAATTCTACTGTTAGTGTCGTTTCTACTGTTCTGAAAAAGTCGAATTGAAGCTCGATAACCTCTATGAATTATTTTGAGCTTGTTATCTTCTTTTTCCTATGATTTTAACAATCAAATTTATGAAAACCTCAACAAAGAGACGCAAAATACACATAATATTGAACTACGTTATTTTGTAAGAGCTAAAATTGAATATATTATTAGTTGACTTAATGTAATTTTGTAAATATTAAAAAATTTGATTACAATACGGAACCAAATGGAATCGAACCGATAGGATTTTATAATTAAATTTGGACCTGATGGTTCTATTTACTAAATACCCGAAAATTTTGAGTTCGAACCGAGAAATAAATCAAACCGGACCATATCCAACCTTAAAAATAAACAAATCCCATAATTCAAGCAGGTAATTCAAAGGACAATATGTCTATCAATTGAGATCTTCTCATCACCTCCACATTATTTATGCTTTAAATTACAGAGGAATTGAAGCAAATGATCTCTAACCTTTCACTTAATGGGCAGAGTTGATCCTTAATCAACTAAAGTAAGAACGTCGTCTTTATATATAAAGTTTTACATTTTTAACGATCAATTGGATCAAAATCACCCAAAGGAACCAATTGTGCCCATTAAGTGATAGGTTGCTCCCACAGCAATTTTAAATTTTCCTCAATTTATAATGAATTTTATAGAGTTTCTAATATAAACCTATCATGTCTCCAAATATTTTTTCTTCTAGCTCTGTGCTAAATCAAAGGATAAATTTCTATCCTATTAACACAAAATCCAAGTACAGATGACTCCATGCATGGACGAAAGTCACATAAAGCAATTCAATAAAGTCTTAATTTTCACACGACCATCTCTCTCTCTCTCTCTCTCTCTCACACACACAAATTTCAGGCATTTAATTAGAAATGGCCAAATCTAATCCTCACAATCCACCAAATGGCCGCACAAATCTAATACATAAAAGAGATTTATTGCTGAATCGAATGAGACAGAGAGAGGAACTAAAGAAATAACATTCAATATGAAAGACAATACGCAAACTGCAAGATATTATCGTAAGACTATTGTTGAAGTACACCTTTTTGGACCATCCTAGTTAAACATCAAAACGAGCGAAAAAAATTATAAGTACAAGCATTTCTCCACGTGGTCGGCCCCAAATCCAGATCGGGGCAGATATCAATTGCCAAAACGACCTCTTGCCCAAGGCACCACAGTCTGGCCTCCTCCATTTCTTCTTGGCCCGTTATTCTGCTGAGACAAGACCCTCATCCTTTGCTCCTTCATGTTTGCAAATCGTGAGTCTAATGTTTGAGACCTCTGCTTGGGTACAACCTTCACTTGCTGCTGTTGTTTCTGCATTGAGAACATGTCTCATCATTATACAAAAATTTAAGCAACTCAATAGGATAGATACAATTTTGACAAAACCAAGGTACTAGAATCTCTTCAGACGTCATGCAATTTTACAGCAGGTTTTCAAAAACTAGAACGGCAGTATGATCAAACCCTTCAAAGCAGAGCTATGTTGCAAATTTGACAAAATCTGCAGGTTTTCAAAACTAGGACTGTAGCATGTTCAAACCCTTCAAAACAGAGATTTTGTTGCAAATTGACAATCTGCAAATCCGTATGTCCAAACATTCTCCAGAGGCCGGAAAGAAAAAAAAAAAAAAATGGAGCCCGAGCACATGCACCTTTAACAGAATAATAAATTAAGACAAAGTCCAACTATGACAATGACCAGAAAACGAAATACTCTTACAATCGTTTGAAGGCATAAAGAATGATAAGATACCTTCTCAATAAAGCCACCTCCATTTGCTGCATTCTTCTGAATAGCTGGTGCCCAACCCCTACACATACATAAGACGCGTATAAAAATTTTAAAACAGCAGACATGAAATCAAAATGTCAACTAAAAGGCCCGAAGCAGGTAATGAGACACATTCAAGTAATACTTGTTGCAAATATCCTCAACAGGAATAGGATAGAATACTTACCATTGCTTTTATATGTCTTGTAATTCGTAACCCAAAAAAAAAAAAAAAAAAATCAGACAAGTCATACCAGGACCAAGGCGAAGCACTTCATCTTTTATACGTTTACATATTAGAGGAAAATGGCTCTCAATTACAACGAGAAACTACTTTGAACATGGTACATAATACGGTTCCACCCCCCCATAAGTGCCAAAACTTTTGACAGGCTTCAAAGAATCACTCCACCCTATACATCAGATGATTCAACTGTGACAAAATTGAAGAGACTTTTCTGCTTTAGACCTCGCAAAAGATCATTTTGACAAGATGATTCGTACGATTAGCTCCAAAATGCAGTCCAATTGATCATCTTGTGCACAAGTTGCCTTCAGGAGTTTCAAAGACATATTTAATCACACCGTACAATATTTACCGCAGGAACCATAATTCAGTACTCGTACAAATCATGAACACCATCATTTAAGACAAAAAAAATGGACAGTGTCCAATAAGACCCTTGGAATATTAACAATACAGAAGGCTGCAATCCAGTGCATCTGTTCAACTACGCTTCCAATCATGTAGGACATTCACAGTACTCTCAATTGTGGAGCACAGTGGACAAATTGCTCAAGGTAATCAACTGAACTTAATGCACGCCAATTTATCAATTGCCAAAAAATCGTCCAAACAACAAATTCTCGGAGAATCACCCAAGGATTTACAACTTCAGATACGAAGACAATTCAAAAACGAGTCAACAAACATGAAAAGATCTTCGAATAATGCTAGCTAACTTCAGAGAAATGCCCAAATAACAGCAGTAGATGGATACACAACTATGATCTATTCAATGTTGGATTGACAACCAAACTGAATGCACCACTGCAAATGTTAATAAGTGCATGCAACCTTCTTTGCTTAAAGATACTCCCATTAGTCAAATGTATTCTCCAGCACTACAAAGTCGAAGCAATTTTCCTTTTGCTTCGACAGCTTAGTCAAAATGTAACATAAAACCGCCTACATGTCATGTAATCAAAAACCAGCTTCCAGCATAGAGAAATAGCACAGCTTAAAGGATATCCTTTCATTTCACAAGTTCAACATTGAACACACATTACGCACCCAGGCAATGCCCTCCCACCCAAACAAATAAAGGAGTTCCAAATGCTTTTGAAAATTCACATAAAGCTGAGGCAAATGGCACAGTCATCAATAAAGAACCACAAATTACCTGCATCAGTCAACACAAATTACATTAAACTAAGAACAGAATTATTATCATGGACACATAAACCAGTACTTCTATAATCTTGAAAAAAGGTTTATAATACCATCAACCAGAAGTAATTGATGTAGTACCTGGGATTATTCAAATTAACTGGCCTGCTTTTATTAAAAGCTCTGTTACTAATAGGAGCAACAGCAGCCTTTCTTGCAGCCTCGGTTACCAAAGGAAACTGATTCCCCTGAAAGTTTGACCTCCTCCGAGCAAGTGCGCCCTATCAGAAGAAAAATAATAAACTAAACATACCAAATGAAGCAAAGCAAGTAAAGAAGTACAATTTCATATTATTCTAGCAATATACCTGTCTAAGAGATGACCTTGTGTCCATGAATCTCTGAACTTTAGCAGATTTATCTTGGACAATATTTTTAGCAAACCTTTGGTTCCTATTCTGTCAAATCATCAATTAGAAAAATATTAAAATCCAGCATTTAGAGCTTCATGCCAAGCAAGCAAATAATCACTAAAAGTCAGGAAGGATTTCTTACTGAAATTCTTTGCTTCTTAGGTTTCGTAACATTAGTCTTTGACAGTTTGATGATATCATCTGTGTTGAAAATTGAAAAACATAATTAACTTATTAACAAGAAGTATCCACAATAAGAACCAAAAGATGCACGAATGTCAATAATCCCACCTAATGTCATGTTTATTTTCTTCTCTGTAAGAGCAATAGCTTCATTCGTAATGGGTTTAGCTGCCATCTGGAATAAAGAGGAGCCGGTCAATAAATACCCAATCTTGATACTTACAAAACTTAAATGCCAAAAATTATACTGATTCAAAAGAGAAACACAAGCGAGAATGAGTCCTTGTTATTTCCTTATTTCTTTTTTACTAACACGCAAGCTTTCTTGCAGCCAAAAACATCACAAAACTCTCAGAAATAAACATCAATGTAACAATTCAAATTATTAAAAAAAGTGTAAAAAGAACAAAAGAAAGAAGAAGAACGAAACGATAACAGAACCTAGAAACTTGATAACTACAAGGCAAGGCCTCCATGTTCAAGTCACGTTTTACCCCCACAGGAACTTAAAAAATAGAACAATGCTACAGGTACAGAATTTTTTGATTGAAAAATTTCCAGACAACCACGACATCGTTTGGTGTG